AATGCTCACAAAAGTAGTTCTTTTCTAACCGTTTTGACTTGTATATCTCTAAAAGTTCAAGGGCAATTGACTGATTGGTCATATGCTACAACAGAATATGGTTAGTTTGTGGCAACAACAATGACCGTTAATAGCCAGTAGTACAATTTAACTCAACGGGTGCAGGAAAGTTTGCTGCGACGTGGCAATAACTATAATTTCAAAGGAAGCTTTATTCAGGAACAGTGGCTAATGGCACTTGCATACTTTGTCAGTCAATGTATGATGATAGTATCAAAAGGGAAGATCATGTGGCAATTAATGCAAAGAATAAACATGTAAATTGTGGAATACAATTGTTGGCAAGTCGATATCATATTTCACCTCCATTACCTCCTATAAATTTAATTTTTCCAAGTGCAGCTGCATTATGAAATTGTTAGTAAATTAAGAATTACAAAATTCCTAATTCATCCCAAGATCATATCAAAAGTCACCCATAGCAATCACATTTTTATTTAAACGAACTGCAATAAAGTTCACAGCATAAATATCTCATTTCCTTGTCAATCAAAAAGCACAAACCACCGTCCTCTTGATTCTAATAAGAATAAAAGAAGAGAGAAATATATTTGCCTAAGAGTTGTGTTGAAGAGTTTTTCATCAAATGAAAAACTCTTACATAGGTGCGGAGAAGGTCACAATGCAATCCCATATCTAATATTCAAATTGGGTGGTCCCATCGTGGGTGTCCCACCCATATCTAATAGAAATGAACCTCTTACATATGTTGCTATGATTCTCCTTAACTAGTCCAAGTAGCACTTTCAGTTACTAGATAAATTGAAAATTAAGAAAATTATACTAGCAGAGAAAGAAAAAAAGTTACCCAAGCTAACTAGAGCCTGCACCCCAAAATCTGCGACTGTAACAGGAGTTTGGTCATTCTTTTCAAGAATCCCTCCTTCACTGGAGAACAGTGATTTTTTTACCTACAATCAGAACACTTTAAAAAAAAATAAAAGGCTAGTAATTCTTCTAGTTTGCTACATTGTCTAGAACAAAGCATAAAGAAACGTAAATGAAAAGTGAGAAATAAATTATTAGATTACGTCAACGCAAAGACGACAAGCTCTCTCCACAACACCTACTGCAGCTTCCAGCTCTTTGTGATACTTGGCCTTCTCATTTGGAAATGGAAGACTCGACCTGAAAATTAATTTGGCAAAAGAAAAAAAATTAAATTTATTTTAAAAAACGAATCAAAAAAATAAAAGTGAGAAGAGGTTTGAATGATTTGAAGAGTGAAGTGAAGAGACCTTACACTGAAGAATCGCCGGCGGAGAGGTGTAGGGGAAGAAAAATGGGGGCAAAAGAATCTGAGGGTAGAGGAATGAGAAGTATAGTGGAGGAGATCCATGGCGGCAATCATGAGATTGATGAAGTGAAATTGAAGGTAGTGATTGTTAGGGTGTGAGGTAGGACCTAGGAAGAAAGGTAGACGCTGTAAGATTGGAGGGATGGGCAGTCAGCAGTTGCCAATAGAAGGACACACCTGTCCTTTTCCGTAATTTTGGGTTGGGCTTAACTTAACGGCCTCTTGTTTGCCTTTGAAGCCCGGTTCATGTAGCATATATCTAGGATTGTCCGCAGCATGGTTGTTAGTATCCTACGATACCCGATACGTATTATACGATACGATTCGATACAGGTCGTCAACGATACATATCAGAGAGTATATCCTAAACCTTTTGATACATTGATATGTATCCTACCATACGATGCGTATCCGTTCGTATCCTTAAAAATATCGATATAAATTGATATGACTTTATTAATTTGGGCCAAAGGTCCAAAAAAAAATTCGGGTCGAAACCGGGTCACCCAACTCGATTCACTAAAACCTGTCCAAATTTACCCATTTTGCATGGAGAAATTGAAGAGGAATATATATTATCCATTTTACATGATAATAATAATATAAGTGGAGATATAAATATTGACATTGATCTTGGAATTTTGTGATTAATTTTGATTATGTAATACCGTAATTTAAAGTCAATAATACCACAAAATTTTTTAATTAATCTTGGGGATGATATTAATTTTTAGAAAATTTTGAGTATTTTATTAATTTTTTTGAAAAAGACGTATCTTACGATACGATACGATACGCGATACACGATTTAAAAAATTAGGTTTTCGATACACGATACGATACACGATTTGATAACCATGGTCCGAAGAATCTATAATCCCTGTGGGCCCGAACTTCACTGAGTTCACATTTAACGGGTATAAAAATCACTTAAGATACATTTGGTTTAGGGAATATTGTATTAATGAAAATATATATTACTTTGAAGATTATTGGAAATATTATATAAAATATTTTTTATTAGATTGGAATAAATTGATAGGTATCTTATATCATCGGTCGGTAGTCAAAAGTCGCTAGAACGATGCATAACTGGCGGGATTTGGCCTACCGTGCCTCGATCTGTCCGTTTTCAATCAAATCCATGGATGGATCTAATAAAAAACGGTCACATCAGCATATGACTAGCTAGATCCAATCGGTTGTACGTCGTTCCAATGATTGGAGGTGATGCCCACCTGTCGTCGGAAGGTGACTGTGTTATTTTGGGTAAATTGTTTTAAGAACAAGGGTAATAATGTCCTAAAATTTTATTTGTTAGGGAGTACAATTGTAATAAAATTAAGATTACCAAATAATCTTAGAAATATCTAATAACAAAGTGGTATTCAGATTACCACCTATATAACTAACAGTAATTACTGTTGGTTTTGTAAGATTATCTATACTTTATAGAATTTAATTGCAATACACCTTCCATCAAAATGTCTCCCTCAAAAGATTATATTGCGCTTGGCACTTTATTATCATTAAACCAATACCCATATTATATAATACATATAATATTATACTTATATGTTTAATGTATTTGGACCATATTATAAGAGTTTATATAAATATTTTCTAATAAGATGATAATAATAAATATCTTTCATTTAATTCAATTCATATAATCTAAGCAATGCATATATATATATATAAAGTTGAATACCCCTCTTGGTTGATCGAAATGTAGCACATTTTGGAACTCATTTGGGGATCTAGAATTATTCCATTTTGACACATTTGATTGACAACTAGGATTTGTAGTTTTATGCGCCCAATCAAATTGCTCAATCTTGACACTTTTTGACACGTTGAGTTTATATTTATTACTCTATTTATAATTAATAATTAATAAAAAAATTAGATCTGTATTAATAATTAATAATAATAATAATAATACATGTGTATTGCAATGAGATTCTAAAACTATAACCATTTTGACGTGTTGTTTATAAATAAAGCTAAATACATTTACTTTATGTATGTTTTAGGATCCTACATCCACTAAGTATGAGTCTATTAGGTGGTAAGGTGGTTTATTAACCCTTAAACTCCATCCTCTTATAAACCCATTTTAAAATTGAGTTTTATCCGAGGAGAATAAATTAATCCATATTCCTTAATTACAAACATAATTATCTAAAATCGAAGTTCGGTAGAATATTTATAGTTTATTATATTTTCAACGTACCTACTTCGAAGTTCCAATGGTTGAACTTGATCTAGCTAGCCCCCTATTATTCAGTACTTGGATAAAAAACATAACAATCTTTGTCAATAGCATCTAAATCCCTTTGCCAAACTAAATTTACCAATTAACAATAAAGTAAAGAGATTAGCACCGGATTCTTGACCCCCTTGGTTTTAAAATAATTCTTTTTGTAGTCAGCATCTCTTAAAAATATCTTATACTGTAGAATTATCCTCTAATAAAAAAATAAAAGCAAACGATTCAAACAACAGAAGCTTACAAATATCCTACGTATATATCATATTGTCCTTATCTGCTTATCCGAATCTTTTAACGGACGCAATTAACACGTGGCAACCACCCACAGGATTAATCCCCAAGAACTCAAAAGCCCCTAGTTTTATTTATCGCCAAAATGCACCTGTCATAGCCAGTTGTTTCCCTAAAACATTGGCCTTCTTCACCAATATATATACAAGCCCCCACAACTCGACCTTAATCTCTCCCAAACTTTGATAGCATAACAGTTCTTGTAACCTTTTGCTTATCAAAAAAAAAATATCTCCATATTTCTTCACATCTTTAAAATTCTTAGTTGGGTTTCGTGTATGAGTTTGAGTTTCATGAGCAGATTGTTCTACCAGGGAGGAATGAGGGTGATGCAGGGAATGAAAGAGCTGGCATCAAAGTGCGACACAACCATCAAGTCTTTAAAAGAATCCACTTGTTCTTCTTCTTCAAAGCAAGCGAGGCGTTTCTCCGGTGCTACTGATTCAAGTGGTTTCAAGTCTGGCAAGAACGACAAGTTAAAGCAGGCGGAGGAATCTCTTCGTACTGTTATGTACTTGAGCTGCTGGGGTCCAAATTGAGATCATCACCGAATAGCAAGCAGATCGCCGCTGATTAAGATTAAATCGAGAGGTTTCTAGATGTTAGTTCAAGAAGTTTTAATTAATATATGACAGTATTGAAGAGAATCTGTATATAGTATATTTCTGTACATAATATTCATATATGTATCTAATTTTCCAATCTTTGAGAATAAAAGAGCTTAAAGTTATGCGACGGATTCTCATGTAAGCCCAAATCAATTTGTGTTTCTACTTTTTAAGAAATTACACTAATTTCTAGCTGGATTGAATCAAATCTTTACGGTTTCATTTTTGGTTTAAATTAATTTTGTTTACCAAATATAGTTTTTCATAGTCAATTGATCATATAACTTGATGTAAATTAAGTAGTTTATTGGAATATTTGATAAAATTAAATTTAAATATGAGGTAAAGAATGGTTGGCTTTCATATAGGCCACGTGGGACTTGCAAGGTACGTTATCACTTTTCATCAACAAAATTTCATCAACGATATCCACCACATAAATCAAGCAATCAAACAGAACTAACTGATAAGCCTTTCTTCCTCAACTCAACCTCTTTTTGACAACCAAAAACGCAACCGAAAAGTAAAAAATTATGACTTCTCTCAAGCTCTATAAAAACTACTATCAATCACCATTTCTTCCCACTCCCTCAAAGCTTCATCACAAAGTAATAAAAACTCGAACAAATTTTTGCGTAAACAATGATTATTACAGGAGAAAATTTACTGTGAGAGGATGCGTTGGGGAAGGAGAAGGAGATAAGAAGAGAGAAAGGCGAACTTTCTTGACTCTAGAAGAAGCTGGTTTAGTTGAAATGTCTGGTCTAAGCACTCACGAGAGATTTTTATGTCGTTTAACGGTATCTCTTTCACTCTAAAACCTTGTATATTTAGAAGTGATAATTTTTTATCTCTTAATGGTTTTAGTGTTGTTGCAGATATCATCTTTGAATCTGCTAAGGGTGATATCGGAGCAAGAAGGATGTTCAATTGAGGAGCTGAATGCAGGGAGAGTATGTGACTGGTTTATGAAGGATAAACTGAAACGAGAGCAGAATATTGATTCTGCAGTCCTTCAATGGGATGACTCTGAGTTCCAGTTTTGAGCTTTAACTTTAATTAGCTAAAAAGTGTCTTCCTGTGCCGTGCTCAAAAATTTATAATTCAACTAATTTTTTGTTCTACGCGTACAATCCAATCCAACTAAAGGAAAGATTGATTGAGAGAATGAATCATCTTATTGTGTTAGCCTTCTGAGAAGAAAAAAAAAAAAAAAAAAAAAAATGGTGTCGATGTAGTTCATTATGCATTAAAGACATAAATTCGGTCGCAAAGTCGGATAAAAAATTGTGTCTGGTTTATTGGGTAGGATTTTTGAAATAACAATATTGAGTTGAATTAAGTTATTATTACAATAATAGGATTTGAATCAAATGTATTTGGTAGAGTATTTTAACTTTCTTATTTGAGTTAAATAATTTTTCAAATATTTGTTCGATATATTTTTTTTTATAAAGGATTTATTGATACAATATTTTGATACGTTTTATTAAAATAATTTATTATTATAACAATTTATATTTTAATAATATTTAACATTTGATTAGGTAACGAAATTAAAAACAAATTTCTCATATTAATTTCAATTTCAAATATTAATCTTACTGTTTAAAAACACTACATTAATACATATATAATAAAACTACTAATTAACCATCCTTAAAATCGTTTGCATATGGTCTTACTCTATTAACAACTATAATCATATATTCTATCCACATTTTAATCATTGTGTTATCTTACAGAGTCATCATGTCATCTATAATACGCTACTATGGTTGACTCTATCCCTCTTATTTACTTCATCTTCTGCTCTTGGTGAAGGAGTGATGAAGAAGAAGAATATGTAAAAAGAAGAAGAGGAATGAAAAATCTGCTGCGTGAAGAAAGAAGAAGAAGCAGAAGCAGAAGAAGGTGTGTCAGAGAGATAGTAAAAGATGAGAGAGACAAGTAATTAAAGAGGAGGGAGGTAAAAGTAAAATAAAAAAAGTTACCTGAATATTGCGGCAAAGGTATATTTTGGCAATAGAATAGAGAATAATACCTAAAATAAGAAACCAAACACACCTTAGAGTGGTTAAATGAAAGAGTTGAAGGATTCTAACTTCAAGTTCATTGGATAATAAATAAACAGGGTCCACTCCATTTATATCGAGGAAATTTAACTCGTCAAACATCCTAAGTTTGCATTTAAATAAAGGATGTTGAAAAAATTTTGCATTTTTTTTTAACTTTAAAAATCTGACCTGACACACTTAAGTATAACTAAACATGCAAAAAGGGGATAGGGTGAAATGATTGAAATGTATATGGGTAATAGTTAATTAATATAAATTTTGAAAATTAAAAAATGACCACCCTCACATTCAAAATCGCTTAATCGAAGGAGGCCACCCAAAAAAGACCGACGAAAACATCCCATCTCTCTACGATTTTCGGCGATTAAAGTTCCTAATTTCTGGCAAATATTTGATCTTAAATCTTCGTATCGCTGTTAGTAACACAAAAATTCATGGCTGATATTAACAAAGAGGAAGAAAACCCAACCCCACTTCAAATCCTAGAGTCCGGCAGCGGTGGCTGTTCAAAGGTTGTCGAAGAAGACGCTCCGATGGATCTTTCGATGAGTGAAGTGGTCCAACAGCAAAGGACACGATGGCATCACAAGAACATACAGGAAAATCCAAAAATGGTTCTCAAAAGGAGGACGCCAGCGAGAATTCAGGCAAGGAAGAGGATGCTGATGAAGAAAAGGTATATTTTTTAACATTTGATGAAAAAATTATTTGTTTGTGTGAATTTGGGGGATATTTAGTTGGTTTTGATTGTTAGGGTGGTTGTGGTGTTTTGTCGAGTAGTTGGTGGGCATTGGGGGAGTGACTTTGTTTGGGTTTCAAAGGATGGGGGAAGGCAAGGGAGGTTGTAGAGAGGTTGTTTGTGGGAGGTTGGAGGGCTAGGGATGGCGGAATAAGGGGGTGGGGGCTGCCTTACATATTGTAGGGTTGTCCACGCACAACTGCTCGTGCACTTGTGGCCAGCCTTGCAATATGCAGGGCAGCCCTCAGCCCCCCCCTATTCCACCCCCTCCTGCCATCCCTAGCCTTCTCTAATCATCAAACTTGCCACAATAGCCTTTGTAGGGCCTGTATTGGCTTCCCCGATCCTCTCGAAACCAAAAACACCTACTCCTTGATGCCCTCAAAGCCCTTATCCCCCATATTGGTAGCCTATTGATTGTTTTGGTTTATTTATTTGCTGATGTTTAGTTTATATTGATTGTGCAGCGTTTCCGAAGCATAAATTATAAAGACTATGGGTTGGAGGTTTTAATTGATAGGATACCATACTTCCTCGTAAGGGTGATGATTAGGTTGAGTTGGCTAGTGTTTACGAGAATAAAGGATATTTTAGGTGAATATAAGAGGGGTATGAACCGATTCAAAGATAGTTGTTTCAATCATTTTGTGGACAAAGGAGACAATTGGAATAAGGCATTCTAGGGGCAGGCAGTACATTATATGTTGCTGCACTCAGTTAAAAGCACAAAAAGAAATGAAATGTGGTTCGTAGTGGATGGGAAGCCACTATGTTTTGGGATGATGGAATTTGCCTTGATAATAAGACTAAGATGTGGGGCATTTTCAAAAGCGAAAGAGCAAGAGAGAATAAAGAAGAGTAAGGCAGTTGAAAACTTGGTTAGAAAGGTTTTGGCGGGGTAGGCGTCTATTACGGCACGCGGTTTAGAGGAGAGGTTAGGAGAAGATAGGTATACCTCTTCGGAGAAGTTTAAAATGTGCCTAGTATGGTTCTTGCATTCCATCCTAATGGCTTGTGACTCAACAAAAGTCATTACTATGGATTGGGTGCGGTTTGCAAGAAACCAAGAGTTCTTTAATGCTTATCCATGCGGAAAATTATCATTTCAGTTAACCATTGAGTCCTTGAGCGAAAAAGACATGGCGATAAAGCATCGACAATATGTCGAGAAGGAGAGACAAAGCACTTACAATTTGTTTGGCTTCCCATGGGCAATGCAAGTAAATGTTAATAACTTTTTGCATTATATGTGTTTTAATTATGATATAGACTGTTTTTATACAATGTAGGCTTGGATGTATGAGGCCGTCACTATCCTAGCAAAGGTGGGGGCGCGGAAGCAGACTTCGGATGAGCCACCACAATTTCCTAGGATATTGCAGTGGCACACCAAGAAGTGTGCTCATTGGGTCTATGACAAAATAGAAATGAAAATTCAAGTGGCTCAGGTAAGATTAAAGAATTAATCTTTTGAATATGCACTGGCTTTTAAATGTGGCTTAAATTTGATTGATTTTTTTTCTTATTGTAGGGAGTCATTTGTCCCTTCCTCACCCCTACTAGAGGTGAATTGAGAGCGAAGTATGTTACACTGTTCGTAAGACTGGATGATGTAATAGATGAAAGGATAGATCGTCCAATGCAGGACCTAGAAAGGGTCACACATTTGAGTGCAACTGCAAGGCCATTACTTGAGCATGTGTTTGAGGCCAAGGAGGATGAAACTGTAGTCGGCGGAAGGGAGCAGGAGGAGAAAGGTGTAGATGTTCGTACGCCTCCACCCAATTGGCAAACAGATACAATAAGTACCGATTTGCTGAGGCGTCGGGAGAATGGGGTGGTTGACCTCATAAACGGTTTCTTTGACAGTTCTACAATCGCTGTTTTTGAGAGGTTTGAGAAGATGGAAGACTAGATGAAAAGGGTGGAAGAGAAAGTTGATAGGGTGGAGGAGGAAGTTGGTGGGGTATTAAAAGTGGTTGAAGTGCAACCTCAGCATAGAAAAAAGAGCCGAAAGAGTAAGCACATAAAATCTCCTTATACGGCAGTAACGTATGGAAAGAAGAGGTGAACAAAGAAAAAAAATGAGGAAATCCATGAAAGTGGAAAAGCAAAAATGGAGGAGGGTAGGGAGGAAGGTGGAGGAAGTGAAAATGGAGGAAGGTGAGGAAGAAGGCGGAGGAAGTGGGGAAGTGAAAACAGAGGAGTTAAATTTCTATTTGTATAAGGCAATAGATGAGGAAAATAAAAACTATTCTATGCCTATTACAATGATAAAGGAAGTGATGGTTGTGTGAAGTGTAAGACCGAGGATTATCCTTGGGAGTGGTTTGAAAAGATGTTGACAATGGGCAGGTGGCTCAACAACTTGGTGAGTTATTTTCCCATATTTTTCCTTATGCTTTTCCATGAGGTATTGTATACTGAATCGCTTAAGTGATCTGTTTATTTTATTTTATTTTATTTTATTTTATTTTTGAGGAGGTCGCTTAAGCGATCTGGTTTGTTTTGCCTAAGGAAAAACAATTCTATAGTGTTTAAATAGACACTTATCATGTTGTTTTGATTTGATGCAACACATTGATGAGGTATTGACACTTATGAGGTTGCGACAAAGCAGTAATGGTGATATTTTGTATCCACATTGTGTCATCATCGATGTGGCCTTTGGCCAAAGCCTAGTAAGTACACATGAGATGCTAATGAAAAAGGCCAAATGGTGGAGGTGCAACAAGGGGGGGGGGGGGGGGGGCAAGCGAAAAAGAATGGCCACAGAGAACTTTGATGGTGTCCTTGTTGATTTTTGGTTTGATGAGAGGATGATGCAGTATGTACAGAGGGAAAGACCAAAATATGACAATAGTTGGGCAAACGTGAAAAAATTATACTGCATCGTGAACATCAAGGATATGCATTGGGTAACTGTCGTTTGGCTATTGGAAGAGGGTTTGCTGTAGATCCTTGATTGCAACCTGAGTATTTGTCGGGAGAAGCAGTTGGACTCGAAGCTGTAGCCACTATGTAAATTGTTTCCACAGCTATTGCGAGACAGCGGGATGTTTCAACATTTGGGTGATGAACTACTAATAGGAAAGTGGCCACACAAGCACGTTCTTATCCCGACAAATAACGCGAGGTACATTTTGTATAAAACTTACATAATACTATTGTTCTATAAGCTGATTCTAATGCAAATATCTTCCTCCTATTGTAGTGCTGATTGCGGGGC